GTACTACTTACTCATGTTTTAAAAACGTTATACATTTTATAAATTTCTAATAAAGGAAAAATGTTTAAGTGTTAACTGTAACCCTACTTTTGGCCCACCCTGTATATATAAGACGGTCACAAAGTGACGGCAACAATGTGTAATTGAACTGTAGACAGAGTATTGTTGAATCGAGCACGTGAGACGTTCGTTGTGAATTATAGCGTTTGTTATAGCGCGACTGTTGAAATTAAGTGTATCGCAAAGTTGTATTCAGAAAGAATAAACCAGTTTTATTTAAGAAAGGACTTGTATCGGTAAAGTTTCTTCGGAAATAATCTTTACGGAAAATTAACTAACAACCAGAAACGTAGCAGTACAAATTTGATTTCATCGTTATCTTCAGCATAAACGCAAATACGTTTACATGTTATTAACTGTAAAAGCATGCCACACAAATAATGTAGGTAGTATGTAAACCTCTAACCCAATAAAATAATGAAAAGGCAGTTTTTAATTCAAGCTTTCTAAATCTATATTATATTGGCTAGATTATGTTTTTAATAAACACTTCTATTATTCCTGGAATATTAACAAAAAAAATTACTCCTATATTAATACTTTAATGGCTAAATGGTTATTAGAGTTGGATATGCCATTTATTGTGCAATCTTGTACTTGAGCAACTTTGCACTTCAGAAGGTATTAAAAATGAATATGTTGAATGTGCTTTCCAGTGAAAGAACAAAAAATCACTAAGTGTTATTTAACTGCATGTATGATATTATTTTAGATGTAACTGGTTAAAATCTGGTCTTCTTATTTGTGGAAGAACAGATACTTATCATACAGAAAGACAAGTGTAGATGGTGTAAATGAATAATCCTTTTAGTATTAATGTACATATTTCAATAACTCAATGCAACGTTGCTTTTGTAGCTTAGGTTGAGAGCTAGTGGTTTCTAATTGTAAAATAATGTTGCAGTAGCTCAATTAAGCATGGTTGCAAAAGCCACAAAACATAAGACTGTAAATACTTTGAAACATTTCTTAAATGCTAAATATCAGCATGAAATAAGAAGACAGCATAAAAACATAGTAACTGAACTTTTTCTTCTGTCAACCTATGAGGCCTTTCAATCAAACTTTTATTACACTTGATAACTACCCAAAACAGAATTATGTTTCAACAATTTAAATGTTTAACACCATAAAACGTACGGTCTTTAGACAGAAGTCTTCTAGCTTTGGCTTAACCAAGTTTTAATAGTATGTTTCTATTAACAAACAATAATGGATTGCTCATTAATGTGTGGAAATGCTACTATGAAACTTAGAACATAATAATTGTTCTTAAAGAGCATAAAAAAAATTTTTCATGAAAGTAACTTTCATCCCCTACTATAATGATACAAAAAAAAAATATACACACACAGTATATATTCTAAAATATTTAACAAAAATAAATTAGTTTGTATTTTATTTTTCTGAAACTGTTTATTAAAGCAGATCCAAGAGTTTTTGAAGAAATTACAATGGAGTCAAATTACTTCTGGTTCTAAATAGCACAAAACACTGAAGAGAATCATTAAGAATTTTTATTATGAATTACAAACAATTATTTTTGCCCTAACTGTTTAAAACATGAAAGGATAAAAGTGCTCCTATCATATTGCATGAATATTAGAGCTACAGCAGACAGCTCATTTTATTTTATTTTGAAATCACAAAATTACACAAAACTAGTTCAAGTATTTTTATTATGAAATCTATATAATTAAAATGATTAGTTTAGAATATAATTTGCATTTAAGAACTTATAAAACATCTAGAGACACAAAGAAGCTTTAGTATAAACTGTGTATGTAAACTTTGTGAGAAAAGACAACACTGAATGGAATACAAATGGAAACTTGCATTTCTAGCCCTCAAAAACTTTTTTTTTGCATGAAAATGAAGTTAATTACATGAAAACAACAAAATCATAATACACAAATGACAACTAATCCCCACATCAAATGCATTAACAAATAGTCAAGTATATAAACTGGTAAAAATTTAACCTGTTTCTTCACGCATAAAATTCAAAGCCATACTGTAGTTACCTTATAATGTATAAATGTTTATTTTTAAAAGTAAAAGTGTTCAAATATGCCACTTACAAAATAAGTGCACTTATTTTATTTTTACATGTACTATAAATTTGCAATATAGTGATGCTGTATGTACAAGTAATTTCATCATAAATGTATTTAAAGCAAAGAAATATAAAATTATATGTTTACATTACTTTTAAAAAAATCTATTACAGTGATTTGTTACACTGCAAGTAATGCCCTGATCCTTTTGGTTACAAAGAAGAAAAAATTATGTTTCATATTTTATCAGACAGTTTTTGTTATATTTGGTCTTACAGTTGCTTATCTTTTATACTTACATTATTAATACAATAATACTATTACACTGTAAAACTGATGCTGAATATTCTCAAAATGTTTTACAAGATATTAATTTTTATGGCAATAATAAACACAAGATAAACATGTTATTGATAAATTCTTTTTAATAAAAAATGGGTGTATTTTTGTGCAATGTTCTAAAAAATTAAAATAAATCTTTTGTACTTTTCTCCATGATGCAGTTAAATATTTAATACTTTTCCAAATAAAAAAATAAAGGTGAACATTTTTTAAATGAAGTCTCATTTATCATTACAATCCTTTTTTCTTTTATAGTGAGCTCAATAACTGTAACAAAGCACAGTGATCAAATATCTTGGTTTTTTCTTGGCACTTTAACCAGAAGATTGACATACAGAAAAAAAAAACAGTAAAAAAACAACTTTATTGTACACCTTTTCATCTACCTTTTTTGTGAAATTAACAAATATTAGATTTTCAAACACTTTTCACGTTTGATAGTAGGAATAAAAAGGCATATAAAACGTAATTTCTCATTTGCATTACCCTACTGAATTGTACTTAACATTCTTAGGTTAAACATTAAACCATACTTGATATATACTTAGGGAAGAAAATCTCGTTATTAGGTAAAAAAGTTGTGTTTGAACAAATATCATAAGAGTTTACTTTCTTTAACTATGCTTTTCTCATTGCTAGCATTGTGTTTACTTCCCACATAATGTTTCGGAGAGCATCAATTACTTCTTTCAACTGCTTATTTTTTCGACGAACTTGCTGAAAAAAAAATTGTAGAGAACTATTACTATGTAATAAAAGTATGTCATACAGTGATATGGCTATCAGCTTAAGTCAATATTAATGTGCATTTTCAGCAAAAGAAACTTGCACATTTCTAATCAAAATTTCTAAATTAAATAAATCAAAAGCAAGGTAAACATAACTGCTTAATACCCCAAATTATTTTATCTAGAGAGAAAAAAAGTTTGGAGAAATGCACATTTATGTCAGTCTTGGACAGTGGAGTCCATAAGCAGGTGGTGAAACCAGATTTTCTGATGTTAGGTTTCACATGGTTCATACTGAATTGCTCAGATCAATTTCAAACACTTTCTGAGCACTCTCAGATGTTTTTCAAGCACGTTTTGGAAGCTAAGATCTACATCAAAAACCAATTGGATTCCACAGAAATTTTATAAAATTCCTATTAATTTGTTCCAACATATGAAAGAAAAAGAAAAGAAATACTTCATTTATTGCACTCAACTCTGCAACATGCATTAAAGTTAGATATACCAATATACTCTATTATAATATTTTCAAGCACTTTCAAGGATGCATATGCACCCTGGTTTCAAAATAATGGGTTGATTTAGCAAAAACAATAAAGTCTGGTTATGCCACTGTCTACTGTGAAAGACTGGGCATGAAATTTTAACTTGCACACAGTTCAAACCTGTCATTTTTGTGAAATTCTCTCTCATGTAGCATATTATTAAATGTATGTTCAGAATTGTTTTTTTTTCTGTTGCCATAGGCAATAAGCAACCAAGTATGAAGAAAATCAAACTGTCCAATTTTAATATAATTGTCCAACCATGGGTCTTCATTAAGTTAACAAATTTGCAATGCTAAAATCAAGAGTTCAATTTCCTGTGGTGGAGAAGGCACAGATATTGTATAGCTTTGTGCTAAAACATACAAAATAAAATTACAAATTGAAGGAGGTTACAGTGAAATACATAATTGTTCAAATAAATTAGTTATAAAGTCATATATAGTTTTTAAATAATTTTGAAATTTCTTAATACATCTGGAATTCCTTAGATGTGAGTACATTATATATGAACAGATAATACATTTCTCATTTACAATAAGTTGCTTATGAAAAATGTTATATTCAGTTTAAAAAATCCATTTCCAATGTTTATAATCTTTGAGATAATAGTTTGATTTTGCTTATGTAAAACATTTCAACATAAAAAAAAGGTGTTGTATTAAAATTCTTCAAAGTCTTTTAAAGAACACTGCACATTCTGACAAGTTTACATGTTGAAATTTTTATATATTATATATGGTATAAGTAATAGAAATAAAGAAACAATGAACAAAATAGATTCCTTGAGCACCCACAAAAAATAACTGGTGTTTCTACACAAGTGTGAAATTCTGCAAGTACTGTGATTTAGGCTAACAATTTAATATTTAAAACTTTTCCACCAAATCAACAGTTACTGACAACAAAGTGATAAACAATTTTTTTTAAGTGACTGAAAATGTTAAATCAAAACCACATCAATTGCAAATAGGAAAATAAAATAAATGTTATATTTTTGGCTGACTACTTATAGATTAGCACAAAATCACAAAGTGTATAAGCTTTGTTACATTATGTGAAAGTCATATGTTGATTCAAATCAACGTTTATTTAAAATATTCTGTAGGTAAGTTTATTGCAAAACAGTAGCCCTTATACGAGGCATTTTATTGAAATATATTGTCACAAAAATACAGGTACACAAGCAAGAAACAAAGCACAAACAATTATATAAATTAAAAAAATAAAATAAAATATAAGTGAAACTTAATATTTTAAACTTGTAATTCACCTATTGATATTTTAATATGAACATAAAAAAGCTTCAAGCAAGAATAAAGAATTAAAATTAGCAACAATGCATTATGTTACAAAGTTAAGTTACATATGTAGTATGTATACAGGTACACTGATATCCAGCAGAAAAACTTTAAAAGTATACACAAGATGCAGGTTCAGGATAATTAAGTGAAAAATAAATTGTAAATAGACAGGTGAACACAAGTGCAAAGTCTTTGTTCAAAACAAAGTGTTATGTCACCAAAACTGTCTAGGTTTCTTCTATAAATGACTATCATCTGGCTGCTGAAGTTGAAAGCAGGGACACAAGAGAAAATCAACAGAGTAAAGCAAGAGAAAAAACCCTGAACTTATATACCCAGGCCAAACAAAGCCTTCGCAAGGTATCCCACAAGTCCACAGATCAGTAAAACTTGTTAATTTGAAAAAGAGGGAATAGGAATAATCAAAATACAAAGATTATATTTTGAAGTCTACAACTAGGGACTCTAAAAAAAAAGTAAATGTACAAGGCTGTAAATAGTGTCTAAATTATTTTCTCAAGATACAAATCTCTATTTTGACTACATGTATACAGTACTTATCAATTTTAGTGAAGTCAAAATAGGGTTTTTGTAGTTCGAGAAAATAATTTAGACACTATTTCCAGCCTTGTTTGTTTACTTTTTTAGAGTCCCTAGTTGTAAGACTTGAATATATAATCTTTGCATTTTGATTCAACTTGTTTCTGTACTTTTTTCCCCCATTCACCCTTTTTAAGTTAACAATTTTTACTAATCTTCTTTGTCGAGTTTTTTATGTCTACTTATGGAGAATAGATTTTAAGCTACTTGCATGCGTATGCATTCAGTTCAATATTACATGTTTTTCAACAGTTTACTGCTGCATTGGCTCTTTTTGCACCCAAACTGAACTTATTCAAAATATATAACAAATGTACAACAAAGAATAAACACGTGTACTGATATGTAACTACAACAAATAAAATGTAAAGCTGTTACCAATGGACCTTCTTGAGTGCAAAGATCATATCTTCACAGGTTTAATGACCAGTTTCCATTATTGCCACAGTGTAATGTAACAAAAGGCAAGCAGCAACAAAGCAATCTCATCAGAAACGAATAAGGTTTCTTCTAAGATACTACAACACAGATTAACTCTCTCAACATGGGCTCGGTCAATCTGACCGACTATGTGACCTCTTTGTACTCGTTTTAGTTTTTATAGATTTAATACTTCTAACTTTCAGTATAGTGTGTACATCTTCACAAAATTTGGCAGTCTTTCAGTTAATATTACAGTTAATATCACATATAAAAAATCATATTTTTTAGTGAAGTACTCTTTTAATAAAATAAAATAAAGATTTGTCCATGAATATATTGAGTATTTGTTTTTAATAGTGCGTGTGCAAAGTAATTTTCATGTTAAAATAAAAAATACTTTTCCTCATCTCGAAAATCTCAAATTTCCTTTGTGTAATCCCTAAAACCTCCTAAATGTATTTCAAACGTTTATTTTCAGTAAAACTTAACAGTTTATCTGTTATTTTCTCTACCCTATCTCAAAATGAGATTGGTCAAATCGACCAACATCATAAGCACCACAAAAAAAAATCTAAATAAATCTAAATTACCCTTTTTTTCTTTCTAGAATGACTTCAAATTGTAATATGAAACTACATTTGTTTATAGCAAGTGTTCCTTGTGAAACAATTTTATTATAATATTATTATTATTTACTTTACCTAATCTTAACTAACCTAAAAGAATCCCTATTTTTACATTTTAGTTACTTTTATAATTATACATAAAGAATAAACATGAAAAACAAGAAATAAAATGCTTAACCAATCTTCTTTTTTCTTGCTGTCAATTGTCAAAGAGAGTTAAACCTAATTGTTTTATAGTAATGGTAGTAATGCACTTAATTTTTATTTAATTCAATAACGCACAAAAAATATAGATTAATAACATGCAAAAATTTGACAAATTCTCTTACCTCTCATAATTTTTCTGGCTTTTTAACTATGTGACAAGAGCTGTTACAAATCATCCAAGATAGTCATTATCTTTCTCATGGGAACAATGTTGGTACTCCAAGTGAAATTGACATTTAACTGTTCAGAAAATAACGTTATACATCACTTGATAGATGAAAACCTTGACTTTCTATTGGTTCTAGGTAATATATAATCAAAGGTAAGAGAGAACTATTAACCAATTCTGAAAGAGAGGATGTGACAGGTAGGTGCGGCAGGAGGGGTCTGATTTTCTACTCAATAGCTCTGTAACCAAACGAAATTGAAGACTATAAAAATTATGGTTTGTCTGAACAATGATTTCATATAGAGTAATTTACATTTAATTTCATACTTGAGGGGTGGTGGATAAAATAGGGAAGATGACATGTTACAAGGAAATATGTCACGTGGGTCACACTAGGGGAAATTCAGGATTTTTTTTACAATACTGTCTTGTAGAATTAAGAACTTAAAACTTATATACTATTAAGATATGGATTATTAGCTAAGATTTTATAATATACTTATTGGTAAATCATAAACAAAAAGTGGTTTGGTAAAATTTTGAATGCAAGACACTAAAACCTTGTGTCATGCACAATAAAGGATATCTGTTGTGATAGGGTTAACACAATGTACCTTGTTAGTCTACATGATACATATGTATGTTCTTCAATAGCCTGCTGTGCACAAGTGTTTGCTAGAATAAGACGACATAAGTCATGTATGCAAAATAGTCAACAATGACAAACTTAGCATAAGTCACCAACTATCAACAACATTTGCAACTGCTACCTTAACACCTGCTATTTAGAAATAGCAATAACAATATAAAATAGTGCTATATGCAGTGGTAACTGGAGGGGCACTCAGTAGAGCACATATCTCTACCGCACAACTTTGATGATATTCATCCCTCAACAAAATCGAATATGTCCATATGTCTGTCATTATCAACAGACACAGACCATTTTTGGTATGATAATGAGGAATAATGTCAGGGTTTTAAATACGAGTGGGCTGGGATTCTTCTATAGCAGGTGTCTGTGATTTGTTTACGATAAATTTGGACAGTAGATGGATAGCACACAATCCACTTGTTTTAAAATAATATATATTCAAAACAAGTCAAATGTA